CAGCACACAGTGCGTAATGAGAAAAAAAAAATCTGATCGTTTTTTTGGATTAAAGCACCGAATTTGAGGTGTATTTTCGTATAGTATTTATTGTTGTATTCGCGTTTTCATGGTCTTAGGTGATAAAATGGAAAACATATTACAGAAATAGAGATGATTTTCATTACTTTGACGATGAAAATGACCTTGAAACTGAGCTCAAAGTAGCGGAAATGTTCGATTTTTACCAATGTTCAGGAGTAAGCAAATCACACCACACGTCCAATACACGTCAACTGGGGAGTCTAATATTCTTTCACTAGTGCAATGATATTATTTATACCATTTTTACAATAATGCAGTAGTCTGCATAACTAAATTTTGTATTTTTTTGTATGAATAAAAAATAAAAATAGAAAGCAATAATAATAATATAAGAGGGGCCTAGAGATGTGACTACTGAACAGAGGATATGTTATTTTAGTGCCAAGAATGTCTACCTTGTTTATTCTGGACCTATTTTGAAATTGGCATCTTTTTTATTTTGCATGAAATTGGCCAAATTGCCAATTTCTGACCACTATATTGGGTAGTTCAAATTGGTAAATGGGCGGTTTCTTGTACTCGGCTGATAGATAAAATGGAGTTCTAGAGAAATAGCTATGAGTTTGGTCAACTGGAACAACAGAATTGGCTGAGAACAGTGCTCAAAGTCGGCAAAATCGCCGATACGCATATGTCGCCGAGACTGCTAACTTCGCGGGAGCGTAATTCCGTGAGTTTTCGACCAAATTTCGAACTTTTGGTGTCATTACCATCGGGAAAAGATTCTATCATTTCATAAGAAATTTTTTTTTTTTTTTTTCAAAAATTTATCGACATAGAATGACAGTTTCAGAAAGGGGCCTGCGACAGTCAAAGGGTTAACCCGTAAACGGTCCAAGCAGATCTACATTCACATGTTTAGTGCTCCAAAAGTAGATCTACGTTTTTTTTACATATTTTCAAATATAACAAAAAAAAAAAGTAGATCTACTTTTTTTACATACTTTCAAATGTTGAAAAAACATGTATATACATTTGGACGGGTTAATCTGTTCCAGAAGGTTGGTCAAAATCTGAAATGGACGAAAACCGAAGTAATATTTCTCCCATGAGAAATAATGTAAATCCAATTAATCCGTTCCAGACACCCAAAAATATTAACAAAAAATACATTTAGAAAACAGTGAGAAATAAATATAAAGCCCTAATTTTAATGGATAAATGAACACTTAAATCAGTTTTACCTTTATTGAAGACTCTTGTTGGTGTATGGAAGACAGCGAGGAGGGGAGAGGGAAGTGAGGTTATCTTTACCACCATCACTACCACCCTCTACCACCATCACTACAACCCTCTGCTACCATCATTACAGCCCTCTACCACCATCACTACAACCCTCTACCACCATCACTACCACCCTCTACCACAACCACTACCACCCTCTACCACCATTACCACCCTCTACCACCATTACAACCACTACCACCCTCTGCCACCATCACTACAACCCTCTGCCACCATCACTACCACCCTCTGCCACCTAAACTCCACATATACAACCCTCTGCCACCATCACTACAACCCTCTGCCACCATCACTACAACCCTCTGCCACCATCACTACAACCCTCTGCCACCATCACTACCACCCTCTACCACCATCACTACCACCATTACTACCACCCTCTACCACCATCACTACCACCCTCTGGAGTTTACCTGGAGAGAGTTCCGGGGGTCAACGCCTCCACGGCCCGGTCTGTGACCAGGCCTCCTGGTGGATCAGAGCCTTATCAACCAGGCTGTTACTGCTGGCTGCACGCAGTCCAACGTACGAGCCACAGCCCGGCTGGTAAGGTACCACCATCGCTACCATCCTCTACCACCCTCTACCTCCATTCGCCCCTATCAAATACGCTCATGCACGCTTGCTGGAAGTCCAAGCCCCTCGCACACAAAACCTCCTTTACCCCCTCCTTCCAACCCTTCCTAGGCCGACCCCTACCCTGCCTTCCCACACTACAGATTTATACATTCTTGAAGTCATTCTGTTTTGTTCCATTCTCTCTACATGTCCAAACCACCTCAACAACCCTTCATCAGCCCTCTGGATAATAGTTTTGCTAATCCCACACATTCTCCTAATTTCCAGACTACGAATTCTCTGCATTATATTCACACCACACATTGCCCTCATACTTTTGTATTTTTCTCAGAATTCTTTCTTGAATTCTATAGTGTTTCTCACCTTCTTTACCAAAGGACTGGCAGTCAGAACTTTCTTTGGCGCCATGGTGGCTTATTTAGCAGTCTCAAACACAAAAAACAATGGACTATTATGAAATGTTTTCATTAATGCACGGAGTAATGCTCACTGTACAAGTAACACAGGCAGACTGAGTCACTAACGTATGAGCGGCTGCATCCCGTCGGTAGGCAGGTGCATCTGGTATGGACAATTTCCAAGTGGATGTACAAAACCTGGGGTAAAATTTCACTCAAAAAAGTGGTCGAAATCCAAATTGTACAATATCCACACCGGACGAAATCCAGGGTTCCACTGTACTCTGGATTTTAGAAATAGCAGTTATCAAAGGAGTAAAGTTAGTGTTGGTTAATTTCAAGCAAGATGATGGAAAAAAAAACATTAACTGAAAAAAGATAACAGAAAAAGTTAAAAGACAAATATGAACAGGGAGAAGTACAGAAAAAAAAACTTTATTAAATGTATAGTACAGTGAAACTTCAGTGTAATGGACTAATAGGAGAAAACGTGTCAGCTTAAAGAAAAATTTGTTGCATTGAAGTGCAGTGAATTACTTGAAAGTAAAAGTTCAAAGCACAGTATGGTTGAGTTTCAGCTCCAGGTCCCACCTCTTAATTGGCCACTCCTGGATTCAATCCTGGCTTTGAAAGCCCCCTATCATACCTCTTTTAACACTATGTACAGAGTCTACCTCTACCACTTCAGCATCTAGGTTGTTACTTCTTGATAACTGAAGCTAAATAAATGCTTCCTAACATCCCATATTTCATGTATTTTCATCTTCCAACTGTGCCCCTGTGTTTCTGTTTTTCTTTCAAACAATCTAGCCCTGTCCATCCTACCAGTAATAGGTTAGATGAGGTAAGGGTTAGGTTAAAAAGGGTAGGAGTTAGCCTAGCAGGGGTAGGGGTTAAGGTAGAAGGATTAGATTGTAATTGGTAGGGGTAAGGTTAGATTACAATTTGCAGGAGTTAGGATAGATTAGAAGGGGTATAGGTTAGGTTTGGTTTGAAAGGGTAGTGAAAGAATAAGAACTAGGACAGAAAGAGTAGGTGTTAGGTTAGAATAGGAGTTAAGTTAGAATGAATAGGAGTTAGGGTTATATTAGAAAGAATAAGAGTAGGGGGTTAGGTTAGATAAGTTTAGAAAAAGTAGAAGTTATGCTTAGTTATAATGGGTGGTTAGGATAGGTTAGATAGGGTAGAGATTAGGTTAGAAAGGGTAAGAGTTAGGTTATGCTATGTGAGGAGAGATTAGGCTAGGCTAGGACTAGAGGTTAGGCTAATTTAGAAAGGTATGGGTTAGGCTAGTTGAGAAGGGTAAGGGTTAGGCTGGGTTAGAAGGGTAGGGGTTAGGCTACTTTAGAAGGGTAGGGGCTAGGTTAGTTTAGAAGGATAGGGGTTAGGCTAGTTTAGAAGGGTAGGGGGTTAGGCTAGTTTAGAAGGATAGGGGTTAGGCTAGTTTAGAAGGTAGGGGTTAGGCTAGTTTTGAAGGGTAGGGGTTAGGCTAGTTTTGAAGGTAGGGTTAGGTGTTATTGCTAGGTTAAGCTAGTTTAGAAGGGTAGGGGTAGGCTAGTTTAGAAGGGTAGGGGGTAGGCTAGTTTAGAAGGGTAGGGGTAGGCTAGTTTAGAAGGGTAGGGGTTAGGCTAGTTTTGAAGGGTAGGGTTTAGGCTAGTTTAGAAGGGTAGGGGTTAGGCTAGTTTAGAAGGGTAGGGGTTAGGCTAGTTTAGAAGGGTAGGGGTTAGGCTAGTTTAGAAGGGTAGGGTTAGTTGTTTGGCTTAAACTTTGCTCTTCAAGCCTTAATTAAATACATGCCATTAATGTATATGTATTGTGCTTTATAAAAATAAGATTATAGTAACCAAAGTATCTTTATTTTTTCAGATACCTATCACTGATTTTTATGTCATGGGAAAATGTAAAGTAGTTGGAAAAGAGTACATACTTAATGTACATTTGCTTTAAGATAATTTTTGGTTTAATGCATTAGTGTTGCTAAGTAAGAATAACCTGTGGTATTACTATCTTCATCATTGGTTCAATAATTATGACAAATATACTGTAAATTATATTAGTTAAATCAAAGAATTTGTTCTGTGCACTTTTTCCTCTTACAATTTATTTATTGTGCTCTATATGAGCACTGTATATTAAATAGTAAATATACTTACTGGGGAAAAATTTTGAAAAAGTTTACTGGCACAATATTTACCAGATACTGGAGATCTAATTAAAAAATACATGAGATTGTTATACAACAAGTCTCTACTTAATGAAGGTATTTTGGAACCATAAAGTAATTAGACAAGTTAAAATGCCTAAGCCTTCCTCTTTTCATAATTTCTTGAGTTTATACATTTTTCTTTATTGAATTAACCCTTGAATGAGATGCATGTTAATTAAATGAGATTTTGCTCCTAACATTTCATTTTAGTAGTATTACATAACTTTATTGTAATAGTGAAGTATCACTGTTTAATACATTATCTCTGTCACTGGATGTGAGGTGGAAGCAGTATAATGATAATTAATATACCTTGTGAATACTTTATTCAAGCATTTCTCTTTCAGACTTTCTGCAAATGCTACTTTCTTGACTGTCTTAAATAAAGGGTGCATGGGGTTATAACAACATTGTCAAATGATACCATAACCTGTGCTGAAGCATGTTTGGGGCTACAGTATTAACTCGTGCATTGCCATGACACACAGGGATCCCGAGACCAAGGAAATAATATATTCGCGGATGGAAAATGAGGCCATCATCATCAACACTCAGGCTGCTGCATTAGCTGCTCTAGGCATCCTAGTGCCACTTATGATTGCCCTACGCCCATTCAGGAGGAGATGGAGCGACCGCCTTACTGAGCATCTGTAAACCAAGAACCCTCTTATTATCATGCACACACATCTTTGAAAGGACAAAGTATCATATAAACAAATATATTTTCTGACCTGGGAAGAATAATAGATTGTGGCTTTATCATTTGAAGGATAGTGCACATTTTTGGTTACTGTTGCACTTGGCATTTTTGTATTGTACAGTGTATGCCAGTGGTGCTCATTTGTATGCAGAGAAAACAGTCTCTAAAGAACACTTAAATAATCCACACTTTTTTTAAAGGTAACTGTAGAAAACATTTTAGTCTACCCTGGACTATAATAAAGTTACAATTGTGACTGAATCATTGTTTACAGTTTCCTCTTAAAATTGTGGATTATTTGTGAATAATCACTGAAATAGCACTCTTACCCCTTAATGTTTTAATTATACATATGTAGCTATTAATTATAATTAGTTATAATAAAGTGATACTGTTTTGGTTGAAGATGAAACATTTGCTTGTTCTCATTAATAATTAAATTTATTTAATGCAACTAAATTGTCAATTTTGGGATGCAATTTAAGATTTTTTTGTATTTTCTGAGACAACTGGTAATATATCTGGGACCATATAATATATTATCAGAATTTTTTTCAGACACTTTGAACATTTGATTTTACATCAAAAATATTGTGGCCCTTTGTCAAAGTATAAAAAATTCCCATAAATTTAAATTTACCTTTTTATAATTTATGCATTTTTTTTTTACCTTTGTCTATTATTACACCAAATTTATCCTGTCTTGTTTTCTTTAATAAATCTTATATAGATGCAATATTTATAAAGACATTATCAACAAATGTGTTTTATTTAAAAATTTGAAATAATGCTCCAAGTAAAGGAGCATATATGTGTGTGTGTGTGTAATATTTAAGGTAATATTTAGTGTAGGGATGTAGGGAAACCGGTTAGCCGAACTTTAGTCCTGGAAATGGGAAGTACAATGTCTCACTGGTCACTGTCCAAAGCTGTCTGGGAATTAGCGTGGGGTGTTACTGAGCACCATGGCCTGCTGTAGTGTTTTGGAATCTCAAGTTAAAGTGTTGAAGAAGGAAGTTCTACTTCTTCAGGAGGAAAATAGGAGGCTGAAGCTTTGCTTAGATGGGTTTGGGAGTGAGTGTGAGATGGTCAGAGCTGGTGAGGAGAAGGATACCAGCAGTGAGCTAAAGAGTTGCAGCTGCTTTAAGTGGCAAGTGGTTCACAGTTCAGGAAGAAGGAAGATAAGGAGGGTTAATAGAGAAGCTGTGAAGATAGGAAATCGATTCTCTGTTCTCCAGGACACCAACACATACACAAAAATGTCCGTCAGATAAAAAAGCAACAAGGAAGGTTGGTAGATTACCGTGGAGGCCTAAGGAGTGGGCTTGGGCTAAAATGTTATACCTCTAAGTGGTATCATATACTTTCTCAAGATCAAAAAGGACTGATAGGACAGAGTTAGCAAAAGCATCTCACACATATGTATCCAAGTGGAGCAGGAGGTTCAAAGTAGAGCGGCCCTTGCGAAAGTCTTATTGGCTTGGAGAAAGACTATTGTGAATTTTAAAATACCATATCAAATGTCTATTCGCCGATCGTTCAATCACCTTACAGACTACACTGGTAAGAGCAATGGGACTATAGTGAGAGGTATCAAGACCAGAGGTGCCTGGTTTGCGAAATGGTAGGACAGTGGCAGATTTCGAATGAGGGAGAACCCCTCGCATTCAAATAAGATTAAAAAGCTGCAAAAAGGACTTAAGAGCTGTAGAATGCAGATGATGTAGCCCAGTATTGGGCCCCTACTTAAACAAGATGGGTCCTACACAGATGACAGCAAGGAAATGAGTAAGCTACTTAAGTCCCAATATGACTCAGTTTTTAGCAAGCCACTAACCAGACTGAGAGTCAAAGATCTAAATGAATTTTTTATGAGAGCCACAGAATTTGGTAAACACAAGTCTATCTGATGTTATCCTGATGCCAAATGACTTAGAATAGGTGATAAATGACATGCCCATGCACTCTGCTCCAGGGCCAGACTCATGGAACTCCGTGTTCATCAAGAACTGCAAGAAGCTCCTATCACGTGCTTTTAACATCCTATGGAGAGGGAGCATGGACACTGGGGTCGTCCCACAGTTACTAAAAACAACAAACATAGCCCCACTCCACAAAGGGGGCAGTAAAACAATAGCAAAGAACTACAGACCGATAGCACTAACATCCCATATCATAAAAATCTTTGAAAGGGTCCTAAGAAGCAAGATTGCCACCCATATAAATACCCATCAGTTACACAACCCAGGGCAACATGGGTTTAGAACAGGTCGCTCCTGTCTGTCCCAACTACTGGATCACTACAACAAGGTCCTAGATGCACTAGAAGACAAAAAGAATGCAGATGTAATATACACAGACTTTGCAAAAGCCTTCAACAAGTGTGACCATGGTGTAATAGTGCACAAAATGCGTTCTAAAGGAATAACAGGAAGAGTTGGTAGATGGATCTAGAATTTCCTCACAAACAGAACACAAAAAGTAGTAGTCAACAGAGTAAAGTCTGTTTCTCATTCTCATATCTGACATAGACAAGGATGTCAGCCACAGCACTGTGTCTTCCTTTGCAGATGACACCCGAATCTGCATGACAGTGTCTTCCATTGCAGACACTGCAAGGCTCCAGGCAGACATCAACCAAATCTTTCAATGGGCTGCAGAAAATATGAAGTTCAACGATGAGAAATTTCAATTACTCTGATATGGTAAACACGAGGAAATTAAAACTTCATCAGAGTACAAAACAAATTCCGGCCACAAAATAGAGCGAAAAACCAACGTCAAAGACCTGGGAGTGATCATGTCGGAGGATCTCACCTTCAAGGACCATAACATTGTATCAATCGCAGCTGCTAGAAAAATGACAGGATGGATAATGAGAACCTTCAAAACTAGGGATGCCAAGCCCATGATGACACTCTTCAGGTCGCTTGTTCTATCTAGGCTGGAATATTGCTGCACACTAACAGCACCTTTCATGCAGGTGAAATTGCTGACCTAGAAAATGTATAGAGAACCTTCACGGCGCGCATAACGGAGATAAAACACCTCAATTACTGGGAGCGCTTGAGGTTCCTAAACCTGCATTCCCTGGAATGCAGGTGGGAGAGATACATGATTATATACACCTGGAAAATCCTAGAGGGACTAGTACCGAACCTTCACCCGAAAATCACTCACAACGAAAGCAAAAGACTTGGCAGACGATGCAACATCCCCCCAATGAAAAGCAGGGGTGTCACTAGCACGTTAAGAGACAATACAATAAGTGTCAGGGGCCCGAGGCTGTTTAGCTGCCTCCCAGCATACATAAGGGGGATTACCAATAGACCCCTGACAGTCTTCAAGCTGGCACTGGACAAGCACCTAAAATCGGTACCTGACCAGCCGGGCTGTGGCTCGTACGTTGGATTGCGTGCAGCCCGTACGTTGAATTACGTGCAGCCAGCAGTAACAGCCTGGTTGATCAGGCTCTGATCCACCATGAGGCCTGGTCACGGGCCACGACGGCGTTGACCCCCGGAACTCTCTCCAGGTAAACCAGAGAATATCTGCCTGAAGAAAGATTGGAAAGATGCCTACTGTCATTCTTTTGGATGTGTCACTGTCAATGAGTCGTGGTGTGGATATAGCAAGCCCCTGCCCAGAAGATGAGAACGTTGAGGGCTTGATGTTGAGGTACATACAGGTAACCCCTTTAAAGTTTTCCATACTTCCTATGGTGTAGAAATATATCTAGTTGGATGAATCTTATTGTGGCTAGCTGACCCAGTGGCTAATGCGACGGTCTGGAGTTTTGAGACTCACTGATCGCGGGTTCTATCCCCATCCGTCTGTATAGTCCTTGTGGCTTAGCGCTTTTCTGATTATAATAATAATAATAATATCCCCATCCGTGGTATGGTTTGGTTAATGGTACATGATCTTCCAGTTTCCTATAGAGGTATTCCGTTCAGGGATTATGTTACAATCATCTCTGCCCATGTTTGGGGTCGTTGGCAACAACGGTAGCGAGACATGCACCATAACAAATTGTACTCTATTAAACCGCTTATAGATTTGTGGCCATCTTCATACCACCGTTGCCATACTCGGAAGTCTGTGCTCTCCCGTCTCCTCATTGGCCATGCCCATCTTACCCATGAGTATTTCATGGAACAACACCCTATTCCTCTCTGTGAGCTTTGTCAGGTTCCTACGACTCATGGAACAACACCCTATTCCTCTCTGTGAGCTTTGTCAGGTTCCACGACTCATTGACAGTGACACATCCAAAAGAATGACAGTAGGCATCTTTCCAATAATAAAGCCAATAATAACCCAACAAAAAGCTGCAGTAAGAATAATCACTAAATCCCATCCCTGGCAGCACCCCCTCCACTCTTCAAAGATCTAACTTACTCCCAGTTCAGTACATCCACACTTACTACTGTGCAATCTATATCTACAGGGCCTTAAACTCTAATATCAACCTTGACCTAAAACGCTTTCTTGATAGTTGTGACAGAACCCACAGGCATAACACCAGAAACAAACATCTCTACGACATTCCCCATGTCCGACTAAACCTTTAGATAAGATAAGATTTCGTTCGGATTTTTAACCCCGGGGGGTTAGCCACCCAGGATAACCCAAGAAAGTCAGTGCGTCATCGAGGACTGTCTAACTTATTTCCATTGGGGTCCTTAATCTTGTCCCCCAGGATGCGACCCACACCAGTCGACTAACACCCAGGTACCTATTTGCTGCTAGGTGAACAGGACAATAGGTGTAAGGAAACGTGTCGGAATTTCCACCCGCCGGGAATCGAACCCGGGCCCTCCGTGTGTGAAGCGGGAGTTTTAGCCACCAGACCACCGGGCCAATGTATGTCAAAGGCCCTAAAATCTGGAATACCCTACCTGAGAACTCTAGAACTGCAGACACATTCATCACCTTCAAAACTACCATTAGAAAACATCTTATCTCCCTAATACACCCCGTCAACTAACTACACGGATACCACCTGATGGTTCACACTTACACTCGCTCACTCATTGGACCATAAACAGAAATATTAATCTCAGTCTTAAAATAATGAATCCTGTGATACTCCAATACTGAAACTATATACTGTGCCAAAACAAAAGCATTCACATTGCTAAACTCACAAACTAGTATTTAGTCACTTAGCCATAATACCAACTTACCTCATAATTTGTAATATTTTACAATTAAGAATAAAACTAAGTATGCCCGAAATGCCTAGCCATGCTAAGCGTTCTAGTGGTACACTGTAATCACAATTTTACTACATGTAAACCAAAAAATAACCAAATTTCTGTAAACTCAGCATTGTAATCCTTATAGAGAATATTTCGATTCTACACTTTCTTGTGGATTGCCCGGTTTACCAGCGAGCTCGCAGGATTTACCCCCAACGACACCGCCGCCCTACCACTCTTACCTTATCTTCCTTTCTTGCAGGCAGCCCTCCCTTTGATTTACGATCACCTTTTGACTTTTTGTCAGCAACTGCTTTACTGTATAAACTTTGACACAGCCCCTAGCATCCCTTCCAGCCCTTTTCTCCCCTCACCTCTGATCTTCTCCACCTAGCTGTTATAGCCCCGGCTCTATTTTCTGCCCCACAGCGCTGCATGACCCTTGTCGGTTTAGCGCTTTCTTTGATTATAATAACAGGGTGGTGTACTGTCATGTAGCTAAGAAGCTCGATCGCTAGCGAGCTCAGTTCACACACTAAGGTCTGGAGTTGGAATCTCTGGTACAGCTGGAAAACATTAGGGACATGTTTCCATAAGACACTTGCTGTCCCTGTTCAAGCTGGGAACCAAAACAATCACAGTACTATGGGAAAGCAGCACAATTTTGTAGTACCCACAGTCAGTGGCCAGGCTTCAAATACCTTTTATTGTACACCAATAAAGGAATGGAACAGACATGTCAAAGCCAGTCATATCATGAACCAGTTCAAGAAGAGAGACAAAAGGTGCCTAATGAATGTAGCAACAGAAAAGGAGGAGAATGATTTTTTATATTTTTAACTAACACACATGTAAATATAAATAACTCAATTTACGTTATTCCTAGTATATCTCCTCTATAGTATAATAATAAGATATTATCTGACTTTTTTGGGTTATCCTAGGTTCTCTACACATATGCTGCTATGTATGATAAGCTATGTAAATGTTTTTGTGTATACCTGAATAAACTTACTCTGGCAAGTCCTATACCACTATGCATGGACTCTTCCGTGCGGCGCTGCCCAAATTCGGGGTGCAATCTTCAGCCCTACCTCTCCTTTTCAGTGGGTAGAGGTTTAACCCTCCAGACAGCCAGGAGATCTTGGCCTGTACGTGCGTATTCTTGCTGGCTTCATGGCGCATTAGGGACATATAGTACGCACAATTATTAGTCAATTTCTTTACCCTTTGGTTGAAGTTCCTTTTCCGAGCTCTGGAAGGCAGGGCTCGATACGGCGTATGCTGTCAGTGACCCTAGAATCCCAACACCAACAATAGTGGTAGAGTATGGCTCGGGGGGGATGGATCTAACGTCAGCCTTCGTCGTGTGTGGATGTCTCTCTCTCTCTCTCTCGCCTGTGTATCAGTGACAAATTTCCCCTGTTCTCTCTGGGACGGTTATCCTCATCTATTTTGCCGGTCGGGCACTCGACAGGAGGGGCACTTGTTCATCGGCTTACTTTTAGTCAGCTCCATTTTTTCCGCTGTGGAAAATTCTTTATCGGTCTTTGGTGGGAAGCCGGTTACTGAACTCGGGTGGGGGTGTGGGCGTCCCTCTCTGCTGGGGTTTGACAAGGGGGTCCACCAGATCTAATTGGAAACTTCAAGTTTCTATCTCTATTTACAAAGGAACTTTTGTTGCTTTTCTGGCTTTTTCTGGCCCGGTGGCCTGGTGGCTAAAGCTCCCGCTTCACACACGGAGGGCCCGGGTTCGATTCCCGGCGGGTGGAAACATTTCGACACGTTTCCTTACACCTATTGTCCTGTTCACCTAGCAGCAAATAGGTACCTGGGTGTTAGTCGACTGGTGTGGGTCGCATCCTGGGGGACAAGATTAAGGACCCCAATGGAAATAAGTTAGACAGTCCTCGATGACGCACTGACTTTCTTGGGCTATCCTGGGTGGCTAACCCTCCGGGGTTAAAAATCCGAACGAAATCTTATCTTATCTTGTCCAGCCTTGGGCAACAAATCTTCCTCGTACCATCGAGAAGTCGGGCTCGATACAGCGTATGCTGTCACTGGCCATGATAAACCCAACAACAACAAAGAAAGAAATTATGGCTCGGGGAAGTATAGTCCTTAACAACAAGTGTTGCACGTGTTGTCGTCCTGGTGTTATGTTGAACACAAGCACTGTTGTTAATGATTCTATCCTCAAGGGCACCTCAGTACACACCAACTTCACAGCTCTTTTTTTTTTTTTCCTCACTACTTCCTACGGAGGAGCTTACATGAAAGGAAGTTGGTGATCGCCAGGTTATAAACATACTTCACGTTACTGGCAGACAGCTTGTGTATGTCACCAGCTTAGTAAGTAAGTTTATTCAGATATACATAAATACAGTTAAATAGATTATCATACATAGCAGCACATGTGTAGAGAATCTAGGATAACCCGAAAAAGTCACGACAAAGTGACTTATTTCCATTGGGGTCCTTTTATACTGTAAAGGAGATAATATTTTATTATTATACTATAAAGGAGATAATACCATAACATTGTATCAATCGCATCTACTAGAAAAATGACAGGATGGATAATGAGAACCTTCAAAACTAGGGATGCCAAGCCCATGATGACACTTTAAGTCGCTTCTTCTATCTAGGCTGGAATATTGCTGCACACTAACAGTACCTTACAAGGCAGGTGAAATTGCTGACATGGAAAATGTATAAAGAATCTTCACGGCACACAACTGCAATAAAACACCTCAGTTATTGGGAACGCTTGAATTTCCTCAACCCGTACTCCCTAGAATGCAGGCGGGAGAGATGCATGATTATATACACTTGGAAAATCCTAGAAGGATTAGTACCAAACTTGCACACGAAATTCACTCCCTATGACAGCAAAAGACTCGGCAGACGATGCAACATCCCCCAATGAAAAGCAGGGGTGTCACTAGCACGAAAAGAGAGAACACAATAAGTGTCAGGGGCCCAAGACTGTTCAACTGCCTCCCACCATACATAAGAGGGATTACCAATAGACCTCTGGCTGTCTTCAAGCAGGCACTTGAAAGGTACCTAAAGTTAGTACCTGACCAGCCAGGCTGGGGTTCTTATGTCGGGTTGCGTGCGGCCATTAGTAACGGCCTGGTTGATCAGGCCCTGATCCACCATGAGGCCCGGTCACAGACCAGGCCACAGGGGTGTTGATCCCTGGAACCCTCTCCAGATATACTATAAAGGAGATAATATCTTATTATTATACTATAAAGGAGATATACTAGGAATAAGGTAAATTGGGTTATTTATACCTACATGTGTGTTAGTTAAAAAAATAAAAAATCATTCTTCTCCCTCTCTGTTACTACATTCATTAGGTACCTTTTCTCTCTCTTCTTGAACTGGTTCATGCTATGACTGGCTTTGACATGTGCGGGCAGTCTGTTCCATTCTTTTATGGTTGTACAATAAAAGGTGTTTGAAGCCTGGCCACTGATTGTAGGTATTAAAACCTTTTATATACTTTTGATGAGTTTCAAGTCTCACTACTCTCGGATCCCGGCCATGGGCCAGGCTTGTCTGGTGCCTGCTTAGTCAACTGGGCTGTTGCTGCTGGAGGCCTGCTGCCCCAAAAATCCATCTCAGCCTGGTTGTACAATTTTCTCTTGCATCCTGCAGTAAAGGGACAAGGCTAGTTAGCAAAAACAAGATGATGTAGCAGCAAGCAGTGTAGGAAGATGAGTTTATAAAGGACTGTGAATCATGAGAAGTGTTTAGAGAGGCATAGAGAGGATGAGACAAAACTGGAGGCAACAGTTCTACTACTAGACGGACAGAAATGCATTGTCTCTGTGTAGCTGTTTAAAAGTTGTGCTCTCTCTCTCCCTAGTACTATGATTGCTTTGGTTCCCAGCCTTGACAGAATTGGCAGCAAGATATTCTGGACACTGTTTGTGAGCAAATTTATAAGCATGATTTAACTTAAGTTGTTTTACTGCCTTCAACATTTAGCATATCCAATTGTTAGTGGCAGCTCGTCCATAGGAGCTGCAGAGCTGCACTCCCCCCAGGTGCTCACTGCCAGACGTATGACTTCACGAACCTTACGCTAAAATAAAATAAAATAATTTGAAATGAGATGAAAGATGATTAAAAACAGAAGTTTGATGCAATATGATAGTATAGGTATTACTGGTGCTACGAGCTACCACTGCCAATTGTTGTAATTCATCCTGGCCTACATGCTCTCTTGGACCCAGGTCCAGGATGAATCGTACCATTTTGTTCTGGGCGATTTGTAGTCTATCTTTCAGGTTTTTTTTGTCAAGGCAGAGTACCATGAAGAGCAAGCATAATCCATATGACATTATATAAGAGCTAGACACAGGGTCCTGCGAGCCTTAGTAGGAATACACTGTGCTTGTCTGTAGAGGAGCTTCAGTCTGGCATTTGTTTTCTTTACTGCACTGTTCCCTAGTAGTTCTCCTGACATGCTTGGGTCAAAGGGGATTCCCAGATATTTCAATGAGGAAACTGAAGCGATAGGTTCCCCATTACACTGGCCATTAAAATTATTTACGCTTCTCAGTTTATGTTTTGTGCCAAAGAATATGGCTTCCGTTTTTCCGAGGTGTAAGATAGTTTGTTGTATACTAACCATTTGCTGCAGCACTCCAGTTCCAGTGTTATTACATTGGCTATATCTTGTGGGTCTTTATCTGACACTAACAGAGCATTGTCATCTGCATACAGAGGAGTTTGTACTTGACACTGGTGGGCATGTCATTTACTTAATATAGGAATGATAAAGGACACAGAATACTACCTTGGGGAACCCCACATGCTATCGGCAGGGGTTCTCACTCTGTTTTGTTGATTTTGACAGTTTGTTTTCTGCCGCTAAAGTAGGACTTATACCGGTCTATGGAACCTATAATAATAATAATAATAATAATAATAATAATAATAATAATATCTTTACGTATTTCTACAAGTACACTTACAAGGATGCCTAGCTGACATCAATGACATAATACTACATAGAAAGCCGCTTGTTATGCAGATCATTTCTGGCAAATTTGATCAGTTTTGTCATAGGATGTGACCCTCACCAGTCGACTAACACCCAGGTATCCATTTTACTGATGGGGAACATAGACAACTGGTGTAAGGAAACACATCCGATGTTTCCACCCCTTCACCAGGAATCAGACCAGGACCCTCACCGTGTGAAGCGAGAGCTTTAACCACCATTCCTATGAGGTTCTCATTCGATATTTCAGTTCTTATGTAATCCATCAGATTAATTAGGGAGGTGTTGGTTGAGTAAGATCTCCTAAAGCCCCCATACTGACAGTAATTATTTACAACTGCAGCTTGGCCAATTTAGGCCAGAAATTATAGTTGAAATTGTAAAACAGTATTAATTTTCTTTTTCACTTTAGATAGTACAGTGGACCCCCAGTTAATGATATTTTTTCATTCCAGAAGTATGTTCAGGTGCCAGTACTGACCGAATTTGTTCCCATAAGGAATATTGTGAAGTAGATTAGTCCATTTCAGACCCCCAAACATACACGTACAAATGCACTTACATAAATACACTTACATAATTGGTCGCATTGGGAGGTGATCGTTAAGCGGGGGTCCACTGTATTTTGTGCAAATTATAAAAAAAAAAAACGTAACCAAATGTATGGAACCTATCATAACTTAGTTATTATGTGCTTACCTATTTTGTTAATCGTTATTTATCAATACAGCCTCTCTTCACTTAACGACGGAGTTCCGTTCCTGAGACCATGTCATTAAACGAATTTGTCGCTAAGTAAGGAGCATACTATAACGGTAGTGAGTTTGTGTCAACCATCTTTGATATTACAGTGGACCCCAGGATATCGGCCAGTACAGAAATCAGCCAATTCAGATTTCGACCATCCGCTCAGAAATCGTTGGTATGAGACATGTCCACCTGCTGGCGACATGTTTCCTGACGCATCTCACACTCAGTCTGCACATCTCTCTCGTTGGGTTAGGAATACTCCGCGCATTCATCCATTGTTTTTGGTGCTTGTTTATTGATTACAACTGTGAAATAAGCCACCATGGGGCCAGCCCTTTGGTAAAGAAGGTGAGAAACACGATAGAATTCAAGAAAGAAGTTATCACAAAATACAAAAGTGACGTACGTGTGGTGGAGCTGGCCAGGATGTATGAGAAATCTACATCAATAATCAGTTCCATCCTGTTGAAGAAAGCAGAAATCAAGGAAGCTAATGTTGCAAAAGGTGTAAATATGCTAACAAAACAGAGGTCTCAAACAGTCGAGGATGTGGAAAAGTTGTTGGTGTAGGTCAACGAGAAACAATTAGTGGGAGATAGTGTTTTGGAGGGGACAATTTGCGAGAAAGCAAGGCAGTTGCATGTTGATCTCGTACAGAAAATGCCGGGAACGAATGCTACTGTTAGTGAATTTAAGGCAAGCAAAGGCTGGTTCGACAGATTCAAGAAGCGTAGTGGCATACACAGTGTTGTAAGGCATGACGAGGCTGCAAGTTCTGACAAACATGTGGCCGAAGCATTCATTGATGAATTCAAGGGGTATGTAAAGGCTGAAGAATTCGTCCCCCAACAAGTGTTCAATTGTGACAAAACAGGCCTTTTTTGGAAGAAAATGCCAGAGGACCTACATCATGCAGGAGAAAAGGCACTGCCAGGACACAAGCCTATGAAGGATAGGCTAACTGTTTTGTTCTGTGGTAACGCTAGTGGGGATTTCAAAGCGAAGCCTTTACTCATGTATCACTCTGAAAATACCTGAGTGTTCAAAAAAAACAATGTCATGAAGAGCAAATGGTATCTGATATGGAGGGCTAACAATAAGGCATGGGTCATGAGGCTAATTTTCATTGAGTGGGTCAATGAAGTAATACCTCTTGGAAAATAAATTGCCGCTTAAGTGCCTTCTGGTAATGGACAATGCTCCTGCTCATCCTCCAGACTTGGAAGACCTACTGTTTGAGGAGGATAAGTTCATCACAGTGAAGTTCTTGCCCCCTAATGCCACTCCTCTCATCCAGCCCATGGACCAGCAGGTCATTTCAAACTTCAAAAAACTACACCAAAGTAATGTTTCAAAGGTGCTTTGAAGTGACCTCAGATACTAAACTGACTCTAAGTGAGTTCTGGAGGAATCACTTCAGTATCCTCCACTGCATAAGGCTTATAGATAAGGCTTGGCAGGGAATAACTTCCAGGACTTTGAACACTGCTTGGGGAAAATTGTGGCCAGAATGTGTCCTCGACAAGGATTTTGAAGAGTTTGAGGCTGACCCTGACGACCCTATGCCTATTGTGGAATC